CTTCCCTTGCCGCTGAACAGCTTCGCCCACAAACCAGCGTAAATATGTATGTTTGTGTGTGAGCTTGCATACATATCGACGCAAATTTTTGAGAGCCGCGTAAAAATATTTCAGAATTAAAAAATATTTTTTACATTCCTTGACAAATACAGTCTATCCCGGTTATACATATGTCACAATCTAAGATACAGATTTTTGTGGTTTATTAAAAAAAAAAAAAATAATATGGTACATAAGCGACTGCTTATATTTAAACGAGTCGTACTTAAGACAATAATTTCTATGATATTTCAAAAACCAAACCGTGAGACGCAGCAAGATATAATATAGGCTGTTAAAAGTGATGAAGGAGGGATTTCATTTTTATTTAAGCGGAGTACTACTTAGCCGGGATTGACTGCACACATGAATTAGAGGAATATTGAATATTTTCGTTGAAACATTTCTTGACTTGAAAATCGACAAATAAACTATGTTGTCAATTTTATTCTAATAAATTTTAATACTTATTTTTGCGGGGTTGCCATTTTTTCCTTCCCATACATTTCAGAAATATGTTAAATTTATGATTTTTAGCTTTTGAAATCGTCGCGAAAAGACACTTGTAGGCAAAGCATGCTCGGGGAGATGTAATGGCGTCTGCTTTTATGAATGAATAGAATATGCTTTTTGAAAGTACATTTGCGTTCATGAATGAAAATTTTGTTGTTGTGTAATTTACCATAAATTTTGACGTCGGCAATTTGGCTGCTATATTGACTTCTCATGCTATTGTAGGCGATTGTTGTTTTTTAAACAGTATTTGTAAGTTTTGCGGGAGACATATTTACATGTGTACGCATATAAGTATGTATGACAATGTTTAAGACGATTGTTGTTTTTGTAGCACAATATTTGAAGTTTTCGCAGGCGACATATTTACATGTGTATACAGATATGTTTATATGTAGGTTACATTATTTGTGTGGCAATGTCATACGCACATATGTATATGTAGAGCAGTACGCGCATATTATGTTACTGATAAATGATAATATCTTGACTTAATGCGTATGCGTATGAAAGTATCAAATGATAAAAAGTGTGATACATAGATTATTGTTGTAATATATTAAGTTTTTTTAGGATATTATGATAATATATCATATACATATGTATGTATATACCAAGTATATGCATACATATGAAATCATATTACATTATTAATGATAAGAAATATTTAAAAAGTAGCTCATTTGCCCAATAACTACAAAAATTGGCTGGATAATTGCATTAATTAAAAATAATGTTATAAATTTTGCATGAATTCATAAAAATTCGCAAAATGATATCCATATCAATAGATATGACTACCGTCTTTTCAAATTGAAGCTTAAAAGGTGGAACAAAATTGTACCATCAAAGGATCGAGATTTTATCTTAACTGAGGCCTTTGACATAATTGGGCGATCTAATTACTTACTACTTCCAACTGCGTTGACAACCGTGCTCCTAGCTTGGAGAACAATTGGGATTGATGCACCAATATTTGTAATTACATACATATGTGCTCTTTCTGTTGATACCTGCGCCATTGCAGGAAAAATTAATTTTTATGTCCGTAGCTCAAAGCTCAATAAGCCTCTTCCTTTTCTTCTATCTTCGTATTGAAAGCCTTATTCGCCAACATTGAGGCTTTCCCCCTCACAACCTTGTTTTAGTTGTGGAAACCGCGCATCGTTAAACTTAGCCATTTTAAAGTAGTTTTCTCTTTCGAGTTTATTTGACAATCCTACTTCTGACACCAATTTTGTCATGGCCTATTTTTACAAATTGTCCACGTTTAAGCTCTTTTGAGTTCGATCTAGAGGCTTGATAAATAAAAGTTCTAATTTTATCGTTACTTCTAATTCAAACCACTAAACCCTTTTTACAATATCTTGCTAATCTATCTAGAACTGTGTCTGCTGCATGATCTGAAAGCCCATAACTACGAATTTCGCTGCACGGTTTATTCTACATCCGTGCTAGTCACAATATATATTTTTTTGAAATTACCCCTTTTTACCACGTTCCATATTTAAATTAATGATTTTTAAATCCACAAACACATGTGACTATATCTTATAAAATAAATTGACAATTTTTTGAAATTATTCTTTGTCGTTTAAAAGTAGCATTATCTAATTATTCAGTTGACTTCTTCTTCTTCTTCTTGATTGGCATTGTCACCGCTTACGCGATTATAGCTGAGTTAACAACAGCGCGCCAGTCGTTTCTTCTTTTCGCTATGTGGAGCCAATTAGATATTCCAAGTGAAGACAGGTCCTTCTCCACTTGGTCCTTCCAACGGAGTAGAGGTCTTCCTCTTCCTCATCATCGTTCCATCGGATGCGATATTCGCCGTGGCCAACGCGCAAAGGACCATAAATATTTCGCATCATCTTTCAGTTGACTTCCACCTTCCGTAAAAGTCGCTAAGGAATTCATAAGTACAATATTAGTAATGGTTTGTTGGGCTTGGCTGTCATCTATTAGAAGGATTGTTTGATGAGTGTTAAACTGACGAAAAAAAGTTTTAAGGAAAAGTAGCTGATGCTTTAATTGACGAAGTTGCTGAAGAAATTATGGACATTGTAGGATGCGCCTGTGTAACAAAAGAAAAAACATAAATTATGCTGCGATTGGTTTCTTGTCTGCTGTATTCTCCATAAAATGTTTATTAAAAATGGTTCCAATTCGTTCGACGATGTTTGAGATTCGTAAACCACATCAGAAGATTCTATTGAAAGTATCACACGGCCAACAGTGTTCAAGAAATTAAAAGAAAAGCCATACACGCATTAAAGTTTTCTTAAATGTATTTTAATGCATTTACCAGTTTTTAAATCACATATAGTATATTTGTACATAAAATTATTCTATACCAAATATATGGTTATTTTAATTTGAGTATTTAGTTCAAGGCAAACATAAAAGAGATAACTTTTTGAGTTTTAGAAGATAGCAAACAGAAATTAAGAGAGGTAAAACTTTAAGAACCGTACTTTTAAACAAAAATTCTTCTCAACTGTAATTGAAATTAAACATTTTAAAATACAAAGATAAAGAAAGTTAATAAATTACTGTTGAGTAGAATACTTATATTTCATCTTAATTTCGAACTTTTGTGAGCATTCCTCCTATTCAAATTGAAGTATTTTCAATCCTTCGTCTTTTTCCAATTCTAAAATTTTTAAATCCAACTGACAGCTTCTGAATTCTATTTCAGCTTTACCTCTTTGAATCATTGCTTTCAATCTTATTTCACTCAAAGCATTAAATTTGTTATGCTTCTCTTTTTTCCATTTCATTTTATTATTAGTATTTGGCTGGTGCGCTTTGATTCCTGATGGATGTGCTGGCACTATTAAACACTTCAAACGGCAATCCACCTGAGGGTTTTGTTCCAAAAATATATTGAAGGTCGTTAAAGTGTGGGCACATTCGCAAAATTTTTCCTGAAATATAATATTAGACAAATATTATTCAAAACTCGACGTCTCAGCATCGGGCTCGAGAAGGCCTGCTCCAATTGGCATTCGCCAATCGCTTGTTTTTTTAAACGAAGTCTTCAAGGGCCGCACTTTCCTACGAGTTGGATCACACGTTGCGTCAATTCCGGTTTTTTGAATTAATATTTTTAAAATATTTATTTAATATATTTGAGGTGTTGGTGCTTATTAAAATTATTGTTAAATCAGTGGTCACAGCAATAATTTCACTTGCCTCAATTTCTGGAGCTTCCTGCAAAAAATCTGGTATACTTTCGATTTCTTTTTCTATCAATGTTTTTATTTTTGACATTAGCTGATGTTTGCAAACCAGTGTTGCACATAATACAAAGGCGTTTTAGAGTTGCGATTTGCAAGGGTGTAGTAAGTACGACCCTATACATTTTGTTAATATAAAAGCAAAAATATGCACCGGATTCTAAATTTCTCTATAGTGAAAAATTGAATTTGACATGGCAATTTAATAAAGTATCACAATTTACGCGTGTGCTGCTGCTATGAATGAATATCTAAAATGAATAAGTGAGTAGGTGGGGATGAAGCAGAACTATTCCGAAACCAAGAAAAGCTACTTTTCAATTAATGTGCAAACATTTTGTGACAGCAAACTTAAAAGTGCCGTCTCCTACTGAAGCATTATATGAAGAATCGCCACTTAGACAGTGGAAACAACGAACAAGAACAAAGAAAATAGCAAATACAACAAACAAGCAGCACCGACGAAACAGCATAATGATCGTGAAGGCACGGGCACTGGTACTGGTATTAGCGCTAGCGGCGAGTCAGAACCCGATACAGCACAAGCAGGAACCGTCGCTATTAGTAGTGGTCTTAGCGACGACGACGACGGACTGATTGGTATTGCCGCCGCCGCACCCACAAAACATATAACACGTACAGCACTCGATAATATCGCACGCGCAGGCACAACACAACAATTCAAATTCGCTGGCAGCAGTGGACAAACGAATATCGGCAGCAAATCAACAGTTGAGCCGCCAAAACTCAAACCGCAAACAAACTTGAATCCCGATATACCCACATCGGTATTGAACGGTGCACCTGGTTAGCAAATCGGGGTCATACTCCCTTTACTCACCACCACAGCCGCACAACAAGCGGCCAACGCGAACGCCACCAACTCCGACTTTTCGCATCAACAACAATTGTTGCAACAACATTTGGAAGCATTGAAACAAAATAACGTCTACAACAACACGTCATCGACGCCCACAAGCGCCAGCAACACATTCCTCAATTTATCACAGCACACCGCCTGTGACGAGCCGCGAAACTGAAAAGAATCGTATAAATGAAATGAAGAAAACCGTCGGCTTAGCCGATGGTAGTCCAATAACAGCCACAATGGTCAACGTCAGCAACAATGCCACTTCACCCGCCACACAGCATGCCGCAAATGCTAGTCTAAATACCGTGATAAATTCCAATACGCCCGGTCACAAGTCCAACAACGCTAGCGCTACGTCGTCAACAGCGCCAATTGTTGGCGGTAGTTCCGGCACTTCCGGTTTCAACGAGCTCGATGCGGCAGCGCCAGGCGCTAATAATAGTCCCTTATAGGCGTTACGCATTAAACGGTAGACACCACCGAGTGTGCCACAGAAAAACACATCGATGGTGTTCAACTTTTCCAATCGCAAAGAGGTGTCCGATTATATTGAGAATGACGGTGTGATCTTTCACAGAAAACGTGATTGGCCAAGCCAAATGAATCTGGTTTCGTGCTTACTTGGTGGTCTCTCATTAGAAACTTCAACAGACTCGGATTATGATGATTTCTCTATGTGCCCACCATCACCCTGCGATGTTGAATTCGAAAATGCTAATATTGTGATCGATGGAAAGTCAAGCATCCGACAGAAATCCAAAGAAGCAACGTTGCGCGTACAATTCAATGATACGCTCACCTCTACCTTTGAATATCCCTCTGAGGCATCGCTAATCATTGATGATTCCTACAGCAATGATGCGCTGATAGGCGGTTATGAGAACTTATCATTAAATGACACAACGGATTCCTCACCAGCGCGACACCCACATGTAGCCGTTGATGAGATTATACAACTGCCAACGCAGCGAATACCTCATCACCCGCCAATAATGCCAGCAGCGCAACAAATACGTCTACGAAAAATATACTGGAGAATTTGCCACTAGGTTCAGCACCACTTGGTTTTTATAACCCTGTGAAAGCGCCCATCGAGTGTCTCTTTCAACTGGGCGTAACGCCCGCACCTAACGGTAATGGTCATCACGCCTTTAATAACACCTCAACGCCCACAACGAACGGCGATACCACCGTCAACAATATAGCAACACAGAATGGACAGAGTAATGGCGTTTCGAACAGCAAATGGCGCTGATGACACCGAGGAGTCGGAGAGTTTGCAGTACAGTACAGTGAGGGTGCGCAGAAGACAGATTTATTGTATTAAGTGAGCGCAAGGTTGCAAGCATGAAATTTCAAGGTGCCAGATGCAGCGTGTGGAGCAAGCGAAAAGGGTTTTGAAATTACTGATAGTGCTGGATATTTGGCAAGCAAATGTCGGTGTCGAACTACTTGTAGGTCCTGGCTGGCTGACTGGTAGCGCATATTCCTCCGAAGCGTTACGCGTTTCGGAATTGTTTAACATTTGCGTAGCAGTTAATGTCTGCACTAGTTTATAAGTCGTTTAGGTGTGCATTCTTCTTTAGTTGTATGTAAATTTTATTATAATTCTAATTTTTGCGTTTCTCTCTCTTTTTCTCGCTTATTTACTTTACTAATTTAGTTATATAAATGCATTTCGCAATTAATACAGTCTAATGCACTTTTTATGTGTGTCAAATTAATGCAATGCAAATTTTTTTGTCTGTTATATAAATATAGTAAAAAAAACAAAAACAAAAAGAAAATGAAAATGTAAAGCAATCATATAAAATAAATATTAATTTGAAAAGTCTGTTTAGCATACAGAAAATTTTGCAACATAATTGTACTAGATTAACTTTCATATACATTTGTATGTTGCATTAGAGCGTAGCGAAAACAGTGTAGTAGTGATAAAATATACACGAAAACAAGATAATTAAAAATCAAAATAACAATAATGTCAGAAAAATATTTGCTCACTATGTCAGAAATGTTAAAACTAATAATATGAGTCATATTTTTCTTGAAAAATTAATTTTCTATATAACATTGAATGGATATGCCATAAATTAAATATTTAAAATAATTTAAAGATATGAAAATTGTCTAAAAATAATTTGAAAATTTAAATTTGAATGTATGAAAATTGTCAAAAATTATAATTCTTTAATTTTGAGGTTACATTAAAATTTAATTTGTTAAACTTTTTGTACATATCTACATATAAATTTCGGTCTAAATGTAAAACATTCCACTGTTTCCAATTCGGCTATACAAAGCTATTACTGAATGCATCAGAAATAAATATTTTTAATCATTTAATAGTATGAAAATGTTGAGAAATTTAAATAAAAATTTTAAATTCAAATATGAAAATTCTTAATAATTATATTTTTGTGAATTTTCAACTTGTTTAGAATTTCATGCAAACCACACAATTATTTTTAAACTAATTTGTTAAATTATTCATATGTACATTTATTTACAACTGGGTGTCTAAATTTGAAACATTCCAAATGTTGAATTTTTGAACTGCAAATGTTAGCTTGAAAATTAATTTACAGAAACATAAAAATCATGTGATTCAGCATTTTTTGAATTGTACGATAACCTCAAGCTTCACGGAAACGATTTGTTGAAATAAGCATTATCCAGTTGACATTGAAACAAATTTAAAAAATTTTCTTTTTTGTCGCAAAGTTGAGCATAAACCAATATCTGCGTATATTAAAATCTACAATTTGCTAGTTTATACAATACGAACTTTTTTTAAATACTTTTTTACTTAAAAATACATCAAATATTAAATTCAACAAAGTCGATATATAAACAAATCAAATTAGAAAAACATACAGTTCTTGTTTATCTATAAAACTTAAAAAATATCCATAAATATCAAAAATTGCATTTAAACAAACTCAAAAGCTTCAATATAAAGTRTTGTTGATCTCCAAGCTGAGTTKRTTGATGATCGCAACTCTAACCAAATGCGTTACATTTGCTAAATACAAAAATAAATAAAAATAAAACACTTGTCAAACTTATGTAGTTTCGAAAGAATCGAAAATGCTTTGAAGAAAAATGAAATAAAAGCGCGCGCTCTAAATGCCGATTTTCATACGTGCATACATACATATATTAATTTTTTGTATTATGTATTTTACTTATAATACCTTATATTAAATAATATTATATATACATATACATTGCATACCATTTACTATATACGATTATTAATTATATTATTACTGATTTACATGCATACATACATACATATTAAATATATACAATACCAAAAAACAAAAAAAAAAACAAAGAATAGCAAACGCAGTTTCACATACCATTTAAGCCACGATTACAATTTCAGTGGTTAAATTTTAGAATCTCTTCTTCTTCTTGATTGGCGTAGACACCGCTTACGCGATTATAGCCGAGTTAACAACAGTCGTTTCTTCTTTTCGTTTACGTGGAGCCAATTAGATATTCCAAGTGAAG